TGCCCGGCTCCCCTTTCTCTTGCTGTTCCCCTGGCCACCGCGAGGCTGAGCAGCGGTGCTGAGAGCGTCCGCCCTCATGTTCCCGACCACCGCCAGGGTGTTTGCCACGGCCACACACCAGTGCACCCCATCAGGCCTGGCGGGCGCACTTGTGTGACCACTGCCGTCTGCGTCCCTCTCGACTGGGTTAACGAGTTGAGTCCCTTTGTGTCTAATGCCTGCCAGGCCTGCATCCCAGGTGGGGCGGTGGCGTGGTAGTGCGTGGCGGTCACGTGGTTCCGAGTTTGCGTCCACATCTTCCTCCATGTGATGCGCTGCCTGCCGCTGGTCTCAGGTGTCGCCGCTCCTCAGCGCTCAGAGATCCGGGGGGCTGGTGCGCTCGGCCCCAGGGGCCATCCCTCTGGCCGCAGACGTCTTCCTGAAGTGGCGCTCTGCAAACTTCCGTTAGCACGTGCAGGACTCCTGGCAGGGCACCTTTCCTGCAAAGAACGTGCTCTGTCCAAGTTGTGCGGTTTCCGGGCAGAGGCCCCTCCTGCCCTTCCAGCGTCCTGACAGCTGGCCGCGCCGCTGCCTGACACCAGCAAGGTCTCTGCTCCGTCCTGCGGCCGGGCTGCGTGTCGGTGCTGTGGACCCGTCAGCAGGCTCACGTGGGGCTTGTTCTGGTGGCCGTGCTGTCAGGTGCCCGGCATGGGGGTGTCTCCCCGTGTTCTCTCCTCTCCTGCTTGCTTTTCCGACGCTCGCCACAGGGCTCCTGAAGGCCCGCGGCCTGAGCAAGGCCTCTACCTCGTCTCCTCTCCTTTGGGGACCGGCTCCCGAGCCCTGTCCGTGGCTGTGGGTGGCTAGCCAAGCCCTTTAGTTCTGTCACGTGGCAGCATCGCCAGAGCTCGAGGACCAGAGGGCGTGAGGCAGGTGCCCCAGTCCACGGCGATGCCGCAGAGGGCCGGCGCCACGCCCTGGGGTCCCGCTCTGACACACTTCTCTTTCGCTCCATCCTTGCTCTCTCCTGGCTGACCGGCATCTGTTGCTGTCTTCAAGGTCACTGATCTTTCCTCTGCAGCGTCCAGTCTGCCACCAAATCCACGCAGAACACTGCATCTCACGCCCCAGTTTCCAGCTCTTGGAGCTCAGTGTGGCTCAGTGTGGCTCCTGCTGGCACCTTGTGGACGTGGACTCCAGTTTTGATAGCCAGCTCCACACACCGGCCGGTTGTGCGGTCAGCATCGCTCTGGGTCGAGAACCTTCCTCGTCACCTGGGGCCTGCTTCCCTGGCTGGCCGCGGGCCATCCTCTCTGACGGGGCCACGGGTAGCGAGTGTCCCCTAGCTGGGGCCCGGGCTGTTCTGAGCCCTCTTCAGAGAGGCCGAGTGCTCGGGGGCGGGGTGCAGCAGGGCCAGAGCCGCTCGCCGTCCAGGGCGGGTTTGGCTGTTTCCAAGGCGACACCCTTCCTGGTTCTCGCCCACATCCCATGACAAGCGGCTGTCAGCACTGCCAGTGGGCAGCCGCCTCCTGAGTGCCCCCTGGTCTCGCCCGCCCACGCCAGCAGGACCCTCTGTGCCTGGCTCTCCTCCTGGGCGCCCCGTCCTGCACCTTCGGGGCGCCTCAGTGTCCCCCAGGGCCCACCAGCTGTGCCTAGCCCCTCCCCCACTCTGCCAGGAGCCTGTTTTCCATGCTCAGCTTCCGCCAGCGGGCTTCTCGGTCACGCGCCATCTGTCTGGTGGTCACAGGGCCCTTCGGTTTCCGGTTCACCCTGGCGGCCTTGGTTGTCGGGTGTGTCCGTGTCTTCTAAACTCAAATCTGTGAGCGGAGGGTGTTCGTGGTGCTCCCGTCTGTCCTGGCAGCGCAGGGCCTCTTCGCGCCTGTGTCGGAGGCTCCTCAAGGCTGCCCGGCCCTGCCGCTCTTCCAGGCCAGCCCAGGTCCCGAGTCCCCGTGTCCCCGGCCCTGCCGCTCTCCCGGGCCAGCCCGGGTCCTGAGTCCCCGTGTCCCCGGCCCTGCCGCTCTTCCCTGCCAGCCCAGGTCCCGAGTCCCCGTGTCCCCGGCCCTGCCGCTCTTCCCTGCCAGCCCGGGTCCCGAGTCCCCGTGTCCCCGGCCCTGCCGCTCTCCCGGGCCAGCCCGGGTCCCGAGTCCCCGTGTCCCCGGCCCTGCCGCTCTCCCGGGCCAGCCCGGGTCCCGAGTCCCCGTGTCCCCGGCCCTGCCGCTCTTCCGGGCCAGCCCAGGTCCCGAGTCCCCGTGTCCCCGGCCCTGCCGCTCTCCCGGGCCAGCCCGGGTCCTGAGTCCCCGTGTCCCCGGCCCTGCCGCTCTTCCGGGCCAGCCCGGGCCCCGAGTCCCCGTGTCCCTGGCCGGCCCACTGCTGCCCTCACTGCCCGTCACTGCCTCGCGCTCTGGTCCATTCTGCTCTTTCAGCTCTGACCTGTCAGGTCTCTGTGTTTCCAGGCTTCTCCTTGGTCGCATTCTGGCTCCCGTTGCCTTCTGTTGTTGGGCACCTGTCCCCTGGGAGGCACCCCAAGGTGCTCCAGCTCCCGCCGTGCTTGACCGGCCCCCAGGAACAGCACGACGTCCTCACACTGTGTCTGCTCCCACTGCTCCGTGACTTGTATTATTTCAGTTGTCGGTTTGGGTCAGGAGTCGGGGCCGCATGGACTGGGTTTGTCTTCACCTTCTCCGACCCACTGGGCACCTCGCCTCACGCCCCCTGCGGGGCCACAACCGTGAGGGTCTCGTCTCTGCCCTTCGGGGGCTGTGCTGGTCGAGCAGCTCCCTGATGAAGGAGGTCACCCGCTGCCATCCTGCCCGGCGGGACACAAGAGGCCTGGGGGCAGACACCACCCTTGTAGCCCCTTGGAGCCGGGCAGCATGTGGGCACCTACAGGGCCATCCCACACACGCCACCGCAGTGACCCTGGGCAGGGCTGGGTGGGGCGCTCGGCCCTCTGACCCTGCCATCGCGGCTGCCTGCCCGTGGCGCCCAGTGCTGGGCTGACGGTGGGCCAGCTGGAGCCTAGGAGGCTGGTCACTCTGCTGTCTTGGGAGCAGGAGGCCAGGAGGCCAGGGCGGGGCCTGCAGGCCGGTGCCACCCTGCGGCAGAGGGAGCTGACACCCAGCAGTTGGCCCATAAACATTCCAGTCGTGGGTAACACATCTTACTGGGCAATTTGCTTTTTAAAAGATTGTGCTCTGGTTTTAAGTGAGCAGCCCTAATTAGAGTGATTTACAAGGCACCTGGGGACCGGGTGGTATTTTAGCACGGCAGCCGCTGAGCAGAGACAGATGGCAGGGCCTCGCCCAGTGGCACCCTCTGGTGACGTGACGGTGGCCATGGCCCCTCAGGGACACGGACCCTCCAACGGGGTGGGGAGTGTGGCTCTCAGATGCCAGGGCCTCCTCGACGTGGATGAGATGGACAGCCCACACCGGTCACCCTCCCGCCTCACCGCAGTGCCTGCCCCAGCCTCCAGGCCCAGCTGGCACAGGGCTGGGCACAGAGCAGGCGCCAGACAGCATGGACGGGAGCAGGGTCAGACCTAAGATGAGCCCGCTTGTCCCGAGCAGCGTGGACGGGAGCGGGGTCAGACCTAAGATGAGCCCGCTTGTCCCGAGCAGCGTGGACGGGAGCGGGGTCAGACCTAAGATGAGCCCGCTTGTCCCGAGCAGCGTGGACGGGAGCGGGGTCAGACCTAAGATGAGCCCGCTTGTCCCGAGCAGCGTGGACGGGAGCGGGGTCAGACCTAAGATGAGCCCGCTTGTCCCGAGCAGCGTGGACGGGAGCGGGGTCAGACCTAAGATGAGCCCACTTGTCCCGAGCAGCGGCTACAGCGCCACAGCATGAGGGAGCCTAACCCCATGTGGGCCGGGGGCCCCCGGCCCTGGGTGAGTTCCCAGAGGACTGCTCCCAGCCAGCGCCTCCGGAGGGTAGGGGCCTGGAGGGGGGGGGGCACCAGCCCCCACCGCCCGCTGAGGAGGATAGGCCTCCTGACATTTAGGGGAATTCAGATCAAGAGCAGAAGGCAGAAGGAAAGGATTTTCTTGGGAAAAGGTCAGAGTGGTTTCTCTTACTTTTGCTTTAAAATGGTTTGTGCTGAACTATGACGAGGCAGCTGCACAGAGGGGCCTCTCCAGGGAGACAGCACGGGTGGCCCAGCTCACAGGGCACCTCGGAGGGGTTGTGGGGTCAGAGGTCAGCAGGCGGGCCCTGGCCTGGCGTGTCCGAGAGGGAGCTCTGTGGCAGGCGGGCAGGGCGGTGGGCAGGGCGGGGCCTGGTGCGAGGCCTTCTCAGGTGGCCCCTGACCTGCGGCGAGAGCTCTGGGCAGAAGGGCCCTCTCTTCTGTCCTCATAAGCAGCTCTGTTGGGATGGAGCCCACGCACCCTGCAGCCCCCCGTGGGCGTGGGCACTTGGTTCTCTCGCTCACTCAGCTGCGCCGCCGTCACCACAATCTGATGCTGGACCATTTCATCCCTCCCCTGCGGTGGTCACTCGCTTCTCCATCCTGTCCCCTGCCGCCCCTGCCCGTGGATTCCCGCAGACCTGGGCTTCCGTGTCGTTAGCTCACGTTTTCGAGGCCCGTCCATGGTGCAGCGCGTTAGGCCGTCGGCCCTTCCCGTGGCTGAGCCATCGTCACGAGGGCCAGACCACGTGTTGCTTCGTCCGTGGATGGCGGTTTCTACGTTTGGCTGTTGTGACACGGTGGCTGCGCACATGTGTGTACGGGTTCTGTGCGCCGGCCTGTCCGTCCTTGGGTGTGGATGCCACCCGGTGAGATTGTTGGGGTCTGTGTTCCAGAGACACAGGCGAGACCCCCACCCAGGAGGCCAGCAAAGTGGGTCACCTGCTGGGAAGTGTCCACCAGGGCAGCCAGCCGGCCTCACGGGCTGTGGTGGGGGCTCGCCCGTCTGGCCCAGCTGACGGCTCCTGGCCTCCTGGCGCCTCCCTGTCCTGTCCCACGGCCCGAGGCGGGGGCCGCCCAGGCCCCAGCAGGCTAACGCTGTCCTGTTCCCTGTCCCCCGCAGGCCACAGGCCCCTCGGGCACCACGATGCAGCTGCTGGAGACGGAGTTCTCGCGGACGGTGCCCGAGCTCATCGAGCAGCACCTGCTGCGCCAGGACAGCATCCCCGCCTTCCTCGGCGCCCTCACCCTCGAGCTCTTCAGCCGCCAGACCCTGGCCTAGCCGTGCGGAGTGGCGCACAGGAGCCCGAGGGCCAGCCGCGCCGCCCTGCGCGCGCCTGCCCTGCGCCGGTCCCTGCCCAACGGGCCGCGTGAAGATGTGAGGGGCCCTGGGCCAGGCCCCCGAGGGTGGCGCAGCCCATGGACTCGCCTCCCGGCAGGGATCAGGCTGCCCAGGAGGCACCCTTCCAAGCTCACAGCGCTTTGTGGGGAGGGCCCCCCTCTGCACCCTGGTCCCACCCTCCCCCAGGCCGCTCAGCGCCACCTTGCTGGACCTGGCGGGCGGACCAGTGGCCGCCACACGGAGCCCTGGTCCGGGGAGATGAATAAAGTTTCCTTCTTGGCCACCCGCCCGCTCACTGTGTCCGATCCCTGCGCTGACAGGCTCCTGGGTGCCCCACACCAGCCCACCCAGGAGGGTGCGGGGACGCTGGTCCCGGCAGAGCGGAGGGGCACTGGCAGCCCAGCCACCCGGAGGGGAAGGCGCTCAGTCACCCTTAGGCCCTGCCCAGGTCCCCCACCGCCACCTGGACCCATGACCCTTAAGCTGCGGCCTCTCACTGGGCAGGGGGTCTCCCAAAATCCAGGGCACCCGTGGAGAGGCTGCTGACCCCACAATCACGGCCTGTTCGTCCTTCGGTGACCTCAGGGCCAGTCGGCCCCCCTGTGATGCTGGCCCAGGGCTCACACCTCCGCACACCAGCGTCCCAGGGCTTCAGGGGGTTCAGGGCACATGTCTCGGGGCAGCCCCTCCCCACACTCCCTGGGCCAGGGCTTTGGGCCCAGAGGTGAGGCGGCCGTCATGGGGGGGGGGGGCCGCAGCAGAAGAGGAGGGAGGAGGGGCCGGCCCAGCAGGGAGGGGCGAGGGAGCTTGGGAGATGGCCCCCCGGGCACCGTCCAGCCGCTCTGTGCGTCGGCACGTGTGCAGGGGAGCCCGCCCCAGCCCACAGAGGTGGTGGCAGCAGCCATGGGCCCCGCCCGGCTGGCTCCGTCAGTCCTGAGGCACCACCCTGAGGGCAGGCTGGTCCACCGGCCCCCGTCCCAGGGCCCTGGGGAGCACGGCCGTGTGCTGGTGTGTCCCTTCCAGGTGCAGACCTGGGAGCTTGGGCTGGACCCCCATCCCCTGCAGCTTCACCCCTGCAGCCCCGACCCCCACCCAGCAGAGCTGAGGAGTCGCCATGCGTCCGGTCAGGCCGCTGGCCCGGAGCTGGGCCCGTGAACATGGCCGGCAGCCTAACCACGGGGCTCCTGGGCCCCAGAGCCCACCTCGTCTGCCCACAATCCGGGCTTGGCATGGTGAGGTGGCTCCCCGGGCATGGAGGGATCAGAACCGGGACCCGCCAGCCGGGGGCGTCGACACCCTCAGATGCCCAGGCGCCTCAGTGCACGGGGGGGCCCCCGCACCCCGTGTCATTGTCACCGATGGGACAGCAGCCAGGCTCATTTCCAAACCCCTCTGTCCACCGGCTCCCCAAAGGCTGTCGGGGAGCCCTGGGGCCCAGCAGCCACGGTGCGGACCCTGCCTGAGGGCTCCAGGCTGAACAGCCGAGCAGCTGCTCAAGGGCGTCAGGGCGACATCGCTGCTCCAGCTGGTGCCCCTCGCGGGCGGGCGGGCGGGCGTCAGGGCGACATCGCTGCTCCAGCTGGTGCCCCTCGCAGGCGGGCGGGCGGGCGTCAGGGCGACATCGCTGCTCCAGCTGGTGCCCCTCGCGGGCGGGCGGGCGGGGGTCTGGAGTCTGAGGCCTGCAGACCTCCCCCTGTGCTTGGTCCTGCCCCCACCTCCCTTCTGAGCCCTGGACCTGCCTCTGCGGGCGCAGGGGCCCGAGGCTGGGCGCACGGGGTCTGGGGACTCTGCCCGTGGAGCAGCGGAGCCTGTGAGGTGAGGGTGTGTCCAGGTGGCCCCGGCCTCCACGCCCGGCCTCTTCCCTGCCCCACGGGGGCCATTCTCTCCCGGTGGCCAGAAGTAAAGCCAACCAGGCAGGCAGAGAGGAATGTCCCTGAGGGTTTGGGTAGGGGCCGACGAAGGGCTCAGGGAGCTGGGGAGCCCGCTCCACCACGACCCGGCCCGACTCCCAGCGGGGGACCACCCACCCCGCCCAAGGTGTGTCATGGGGTCCCACGACCAAGGACACCCCCGGCAGCACCCACAACGTGGTTCCTCCCTGTCCCCAGGCCTGCATGTCAGCTTGTTAGAGCCCCTGTGGGGCCGAGGGCTGGGGCCACCTGCCACCCCCACTTCTGTGGGAGCCAGCCTCCCATGAGCTCCCTCCACACTGGGAGGGTCTCCGAGGCCCCACCCCAGGCCAGGACCACCCGCCTGGCGCCCGCCCAGGGGCCACCTCCAGGCTGACAGTGGTTGGACTGTCCTTTCCTGAGAAGAGGCAGCCAGGGCCACCCCACTGTCCTGACGGCCAGTCTGGGTCCCACGGACGTTCTCGGTGGGGGCAGCGTGCAGACAGGCCCGGCGCAGTTCCGGCAGCTCCTCACTTCCTGGGCACGCGCTGATGGCGCGGGGAGGGCCAGCGCTGCCGGAGCCGTGACGCAGGGGCTCCTCCTCCCCAGCTCGGGGCCCACCGCCCCACCACGGGCATCCCTCCCCCTCAGGGACACCCACGGATCTGCCTCCGGCATCGCGGGGCAGGAAGGGCACAGCTTCCCCTCCGCTGCTGCCTGGCCCGTGTTCTGAAGGTGACTGAAGCCGGTGTTCTCCAGCTCCCCCCGCGGCGTGTGGACCGTGGACGGGAGCCAGGGAGAAACATGGGCTCTCAGTCCCCGTTCCGGGCCCACTGAACCCGAATCTGCGGGTGATGTGACCCCAGGTGACTCCTTCCCTCTGGGAGCCTGGCCTCATCCCATCAAGAGCCTGCAGGTTGGGTCTGGTCATCGGCGGAGCAGAGGTCCAGGAAGGGCAGGGACCAGTCACAGGCCACGGGCAAGTCTGTCGGATCTGGACCCGAGCCCAGCCCTCCTGACCAAACGCACGGCCCTCACCACCCAGGCTCCATGTCTCCAGGACATCAGAGCCAATAGCGGCTGGGCCTGTCCCCCAGCAGCCTCACAGGGTCCCCCAGAGGCCCAGGGGCCTGGAGCCGGGCGGGTACAGGCAGGCGTGTGCGTACACACACACATGCACGGTGTGGACAGGTGGCCTCAGGCCCAGAGAGGGGCAGGGCCTCGCCCGCAGTCACCCAGCGCAGAGGGCCAGCGAGGAGGGTCCCGCCTGCCGCCTGTCTCGGTCAGGCTTTCTCGTCTCTGTCCTCGTTATCTCTGACTGCACAGTTCCGATGTGTTTTCCACGTACAAAGAACACCCGTCCCACAATAGGAGCACAGACTAACCAGCAGAGCTCCCTGGCCCCGGCCCAGCCCCTCCATCTGGACACAGTCACCACCTGCCACGTGGCCCACGCGCATTGTCTGGCTGCCGTGGCTCAGAGACGCCCGTGTGCAGCTCGGCCCCGCGCTGAACGGTCGTCTTGGAGATCGTCCGCGAACGCGTCCGCCGGTGCACTTCATCGGGCTTCTCGTTCTGTTTCCAAAACACCCACGAAGTGTGACCGGAAACAATGACCTGCAGAAGCAGCAGCTCCTCGTTTCAAGGTAAGATCCCCGGCGTCGCTCGGAGAACTGTGGTCACCGCCTTCAAACACACAGGAAGCAGGTTCCAGATTCCCAGTAAGAAATGTCATTCGTCGACCTCTGCTGGTGGTCTGGTGTCCACCCCGCTCACGATTCCCTATTTTCTGGGGGACTTTTTCCAGATGAGCAGCAGATTCACTCTCCTTCTTCTGACTTTCTGAGAACCAGGCTCCTTGGTGCAGCCCGACCAGCCCCAGCCCAGCCCGACGCGCCGTTGCCCCACGGGGAGCCATCATACATCCGCGCCTGTCCCTTCCCCCGCCGTGGGCTGAGCTGTGCCCCCAAATCCACACGCTGAAGCCCGGACCCCCAGCACCGCTGCAGGTGGCTGTGTTCGGATCTTCACAGAGGGGACAGAGATAAAAGTGAGGTCATACGGGTGGACCATATGGGACTGGTGTCCTCACGGGGAGGTTCGGACACAGACACACGGGACGACTTTGCGAGGGCACAGGATGGAGACAGTCACCCTCACACCAAGGAACGAGAACCAGCCCTGCAGCACCTGGACCGCGGCCTCCGGCCCGGTGAGAACACGGCTCTCGTCTAGGACGCCAGCTGGGGCTTCCGGATGACGCCCCCGACTCGCGGGTCCTGCCCCCCGGAGGCACCTGCCCGCCCCAGCTCCCCCTGCGCTTCAGTCACCGCGTGCACAGCTCCGGCATCTGCTCCCTTCGGCTCCACGTCCTCGGAGAGCTCGCCCACAGCGCCTCCCTCAGATAACACAACCGCCTGTGCAGTCTGAGATCGCCGGGTGGCCGCGCGTGAAAAGTCAGAGGAAACAGGTGACATCAATTTTGACAGGTTTTATTTACCCTGATATATCTGAAATCTTACTTCCACACGTAATCCGCAGAGACAGGCGCCAGTCACCACACCCGCGTCTTGGTTCGGACCAAGTCCAGGGTCTTGTACCTACGGTCGAGTCCACAGGGCTGTCAGACCGTGTCCGAGCTCTGGGACGGTGGCAGACTCAGGCCGTGAGCGGGTGTGCAGGGCCCAGCCTGTCTGCCGCCTCCAGGGAGCCCCGCCCCATGGAGCTGGCGGCAGCTGCATTGGCCGGGGACCGGGGCGCTTGGTGCCGGCTCTGCCCATCCACGGGGCGCTCTCCCCGACGTGAGCCTCCGTGTCCACATCTGGAACAGGGACAGGCCGCGGGCCAGAGGGCGGCGCCGAGGGCCTGGGGAAGAGCCCGCACTCAGGCAGCCCGGCGCCTCCTTCAGGCTGGGCCCAGCCCTGCACCCTGCCCTCGGCTCTGGGCGGCCTCTTCAGTGTAACCCGGTAATTAGCTCAATTACCGACAGCTTTCTTGTGTTCCTTCTCTCTTTTTTTTTTTTCCAAACTTAAAATGGAAATTAAATTTTGCGC